CGCCGCAGCGGTGTTTTCAAAGGGGGAAGTGGTGTTTTGGAGTGAAGGGAGTGGGAGATTGAGAAATGGAGGGAGGCCGCCATTGGACAGGAGATGGAGGTTTTTTTTCTTTTTCCTTTTTTCTTTTAATATTTCTTTTTCTTTTCCTGTTGGGTTTCGTTGTTAGGGCCCGTTTGGTTGGTTTCCTAAAAATCAAGAAAAGAAAATCGGTACAAGGAAATCAATAAAATAATATTTTTACTCATTTCCATTCCTAAAACTCACCCACAACATCTAATAAAATATTATTTTTATCTTCCAACTCATCTCATTTCATCTCCTTTCTTACATTTAAAAATAAACCAAACACAAGAAATGTGTCACATCATCCAACTCATCACAACTCATCTTATCCCATTTTTAAAAATCACACACATCATCCAATAATATTGTGACAACTCATCTCATCTCATTAAACATTCATTTCCATCCATTTCCTCAAAAAAAAACAAGAAATTGGTTTCCTTAAGTACGTGTCACATCATCCAATAATATACCTCCAACTCATCTCATCTCATCTACGTGTCACATCATCCAATAATATACCTCCAACTCATCTCATCTCATCTATTTTCCTATTTTTAAAAACGAACCAAACACAAACAACCTCAAAACATCATCCAATAATACACCTCCAATTCATTTCCTTATTTTTTTAACCAACCAAACAACCTCAAAACAATTTTTTTTTAAAATCACTCACATCATCCAATAATAAGTTGACAACTCATCTCATCTTATCTCCTATTCTACAATTTCTTTCTTTTTTAAACCAACCAAACAACCTCAAAACAAATATTATAGGAAATAGGTTTCCTATTCTTTGATTTCCCCAAAAAAATGGCCAAACGAACAGCCTAAACCTCAGCTCAGCAGGATAATGACAATCGTACAGGGTTTCTCACTGCAAGAGCAAACAATGAGTAGAGCCTCCGAGGGAATTTTATTGGGCAAAAACTTCCTGAAGCCAAATATCATCAGCTTAAGTTATTTTTACAAGCTTTTGTTAAATTTTGTTTAAGTGGTGATGATGTAACCGATTACGTCAAACAAAAAATAGTTAATGTCCAATTTCAATAGAAACTCATAGTTTCACTAATTTTTAATTGTATTAGGCTTGTAATTTCGGGTTTTTTTATTTTTTTGCTAACATGATAGTGACACGTCAGCAATATTCAATGGAAATTAGTAAAAATGATCTGGACTGATGACGGAGATAACATTAGGGACCCTCGTTCATAATTTGTAACGTTAAGAACTCAAATGATTTTTTTTTTCGAGTACATTAAGGATCTTCGCTTAATTTTCTTCCAAAATGATTGCAGTTATTATTAGATCCATCAATGTTTATATTTTAATATTGTCCCTCTACACTGGGAGGGGCAAAACAATTTGTAGGGATTGGGAGACCTAATAGCAATTTTAGTGATTAGAAAGGCGAATGTAGAGACAACTTATACTAATTTAAGGACAAAATTGCAATTTTAATGATTTGAGTGACTAACTCAAGATATTATATATGTAAGGGACTAAAATGGAGAAACCGCAAATTTATTTGTATTTCCTTGTTGCGGGTAGACCCTTTGAAAGCAAGTTCACTCTATTTAGTTAAATTTATTTACTCTTAGTTAAATTTATTTACTCTTACAGTTAAATTTATTTACTCTTACAGGAGTTAAAAAAGTTCACTCAGAGGCCTATTGAGCTATAGCCTATAGGGGATCTATCAGCAAATGGGCTATGGCAGGGGTCTGTCCATAATTCACCCTATTTAAATTAGTTTCTAAGTTATTCTAAATTGGTTAATCTGAACTTTGAAAGCAGCAACAGTTTGTCCAATAAAATTAAAATTGGACATAAAATTGGCACTTAAGAGCATATATATAACATAGGTGGTTTTGATAAACAAATCAAGTATAGGTGACATATGTCTGAGGGAAATATCTGTTTTGTTCCTAGGAACAAATTCCTATATTAAATATATTTTTATTTTAATGTAGGAATTTGTTCATGTTTTCGCTTCTCTCTCAAAAAGGCTCTCTAACTCTCTATATTAGAGGTTTTCTCTTACTCTAGGAAGTGGATTGTTTTCTTATCTTGGATAGATAGGAATGAAGGCTTTCACCCCTATTTTTAACTCTTAATATTTGTAAAATTTCTGTTGAGCCTATCAAATTCCTACATTAAAATAAAATTGGATAGATTTAAAATAGAATTATGATATTTTAACAATAAATTTAATAAAAATTAAGGACTTAAAAAGTTCACAAATTAATATATCAACTCTTTCTTTAAAGGAATCATATGTCAATGTTAACTGGAATTAAAATGAAAATGCAAACTTTAATAACTTCAGAGTGCATAATATGCATAGAATTAAAGTGAAAATGCAAACTTAAATAAATTCAGAGTGTATAGCTGCGCATAATGGCTATCAGAGTGCAAAAGCTTTAGTCAAGATCAAGTGACTAAACAAGTGAGGGTATGTGAAGTCTGAAGTATACAAAACAATCAGGGTGTTTACTACAATTAAGGCTTTTCTTAAATAATGTTTAAAATATAGGATTTCAAGTGCAATTAATCCTTTTTAAGAAATAAAGTTTAAACATTGATTTGATAGGGGTGCGCCAAGCCCATGCAGTAGTGCAACGCCCGGGCGACGCTCGAGAGCCCCAGCAGCAAGCTGCTGTGATGGACCCTCCCCCAACAAAAATTAATTTAATATCATAATGAGCCGATGGCCCAAGTATCAGATATTAAACTGATAAGAACAGATACTACACTTGATCTTAGCCAAAAGGCCGAGAAAGGTATGAGTTGTTTTGAAGCCCATCAACTCGTTATATATTGGCTGTCACGTCCCTCACAATACTAAACGGCCGATGTGGGACTAAAAGGCCATAAGTAAAAGTGTGCATCTGCTTTTCTCCTCCAGGCCTCCTAATTATTAATTCTCTTGTAAGCGAGTGGCACCGTGAAATTGGCACCATCATTATCCAAATTTTCACCTAATCTGTGATTTAAAATTGAAGTTCTTAAAGAATCTTAAGCCGTATATTTAAGTTGGTGATACCATCCTTATATAATACTTAATTTACGGCTCAAGATTATTAGATTCTTAATATTTGCCAATATGCAGAATTTTATCTCTCTATGTTTTGTATATTCTTATTAGTGTTATACTCGCGTTAGGTTGCTGGAATTTCTCTGCTTAAAAATATAATTAAAAAGTATTCACTTTATATTTTCTTTGCTGTAATATGTGAATTTCACCGATCAATTAGAGCCTTGACTATGAGAATTGAACTAAAAAGAGTACTATTTCACAAAATTTTTGGGTGCAACTAGAGCAATTGGAAAACATGATCAATACACATAAAAAATAATTTTCGTAAGCACTAGTATCGAAAATAAATTTATGTCAGTATGAACTGAGCACAGTTGCCTCCAATTTCACGTACTGAAGGGGAAAAGAGCTTCTAGAATTCCTCTCCTCCCAACTTTTGTATTTACCAGACGAAAGTAAAACACCTCCTTTAACAACTAGTACATATGTTGGGAAAACTCGGTCTTTACCGCCTCGTGAAGTTAAGATATGCACTTATAAATTAAGATATTAATAAGAGCACAAGAGTTTATGGTTCTCCAATATGGAGGTTCTTCCACTATACAAAAGAATAGTAGGATTACAAGAATTTATATTTTACAAAACTGTCTCACTTTGGTGATTCACTCGAGCTTGAGGATTAGAACTCTCAAGCTATCTCACTTCTCTCAAAGAAGCTCTCTAGCTCTCTCACTCTAAGAAATGGATTGTTTTCTTGTCTTGGATGAATAGGAATGAAGGCTTCCATCCCTATTTATACTACTCCACCTAGTAGTGGAGATTAATTTGATCCAAGGGTGAAGATTAGCTCTCTAGAATTCTCCACACATATCTTTACTTTCTAGAGATTTCTAAGGAATCTCTACAATCCTCCATTCTATTTCATACTTTTTCAGAATGTTCCACAAGGCTCCACACATCTCTAGAATATTCTAGAGGATTTCACACGCTTCTAAAGAATTCTACATTTCTCTAGAGTTCTCCAGAAAGTTCTAGAATTTTCTAAAATCTTCTCAATTAAGGAGGAAACCTAGCAAATCTCCCCCTCCCGACTTAATTGGGAGGTAGTAGCAAACCAACACCTTAACTGCAATCTTCAAACTTCGTGGATGTTATTACCTTGGTCATCATGCTTGACTAATTTTCATCTGTTTGAACCATGTTAAGATGTATGCGCTTTTCTTCGAGTGTTCCTCGGATCCAGTGATACCGTGTATCAATGTGCTTTGTGCGGGAATGAAAAGTTGAATTCTTTGCTAAGTAAATTACACTTTGGTTGTCACACTTCAAGATATACATGTCTTGATCTACTCCCAACTCAACCAACAAAATTCTTCATCCACAGCATCTCCTTGCAAGCTTCAATAGCTGTGATGTACTCTGCCTCAGTAGTGGACAATGCAACACACTTTTGTAACTTTGATTGCCAGAAAACAGCTCCCCCTGCAAAAGTAGTTAGGTATTCTGACGTTGATTTTCTAGACTCAATGTCACCGGCCAAGTCTATAACTGTGTATCCCACTAGCACATATTTTCCATTTCCAAAGCATAAACACTTCTTAGAAGTATCACGTAGATATCGGAGGATCCATTTGACTGCAGTCCAATGTTCCTTCCCCCGGATTAGCCAAGAAGCGACTAACAACACCAACTACATAGGCGATATCAGGTCTTGTGCATATCATTACATACATAAGACTGCCTACTGCAGATGAATATTGAATCATCTTCATTTCCTCCATTTTCTCACTTGTGGGACTTTGCTTCGAGCTCATCTTGA